ACTTAATTTTAATAAAATAATGCAGTAGAGCATAAAACAATTGAATATGGAAGTCAAACAAACTTTATCTTTAATCAATTTGAAGAAAAGCCATTGAACAGTATTGTAAAAAGGAAGTTTTAGTTCGCCTATTTCAAATATTTTTAGATAAACGACCAAAAAATTTCAACGTTACAGTGGTCAAAACTTCATATTGTCAAGCAAATCATAATTTCAAAATACATGTTAATGTAAATAAGAAACATCTTTGGTTTTAAATAACACTTAAAAAATATGTCTGCAGACAGTCTGCAGGTACTTTTCTTAAATTTTATAATCTGTTTCAAGTAACAAAATTTCCTAACATAAAATATTTATAACAAAAGTGTTTCTCTTAATAGCGTTTTAATCAGCTAGACTACTTCTTCACATTTATAATTTGTTAAATGCCTTGTTACATGTGTGGATATTTTATGCCTATTTTCTGATTTTTTTATGCCTAATGCTGTATCAACGAAATTCAAAAGAAACTTTATTTATTATTTAGATCTCTAGAAGTTTGTTCCTCATTATTAAACCTGAAATATATGGCCACACTTTTTAGATTTAAAGTTTTCCCTTATGTGACAACAAGTTTAATAAAATCACTAGTCTTGTTAACATTTGAAATTTTTGAAGTTTTATTCCGATTAAGAAGAGCGTTGTAAGTTTTATCAGAAAGAAAAACCTTTGCTTTCTAAGTCCATTATATCGAACATGTTTGATAACGTGGACAAAACTCAAGCAACAAAAGAGTTCCATCATTAGTTAATCAAGATTTTTCATAAAACGTTGAGTATTATGAAAAATTATGGTTTTAATTGCATATAATTGCCTTTGCGTTGCTATTTTACTCTCTCACTGATTCTAGACTTGAATGAATTTGATTAAATAAAAATTAGGACTTTATTTGTTTACAAGTTTTCAAAACTTTTTCATAAGAAATTTAAGACCATAAAACATGCACTTTGTATTACAAGTTATCATAACATTTAAAACACTTTTTGAAAGATTTTTCATATTATTGGTTTTCCAAAAACAGCAACTTCTTGATACAATAACATTTTTGTAACGCACCTTGACACAGAGAATAATAGTTCCAAGCAATAATTTTCAAAGTAGAAAGAAAACTTAGTAGAAAGTTTATGCAGAAAATAAACAAAAAATTTATCTGAGAGGAAAATTGTTTACAAAGTTATTTTAGTTTAATCTTTTTGAAGTTTTGATACCAAGCAGATCATATACTAAGTCTTGCTAGTCGTTTTAAAGTGTTGCTAGACGTTTTAAGTATTTTATAGTGTTGCTAGACGTTTTAAACTCGCATTAGGTTAACATTCTATCCAACGTGTTTTCTTCTCTGTGTTATTGGGAAATCTATCATTTTTAAATGTTTATAAATCGTTTGACTTCATTAATGACAAACAACTTGATGAACAGCAATAAACACACTTCACTATTTCTTATAAACATAAACAAATTTCACCATTTTCATAATAGACTAAATAAAAAAACCAACAGACTGTGCTATTTAGTTTAGTGTTTGTAATTATAAAAACCTTTTCATTTAAATATTTCCCCCCTTAAATACATGGGTTTTTCAGTCAAGCATTTCATTTTTCAAAATGAAACTTTTCTGTAACATAGTCAACTAGGCTCAGCAACAATTTTAAATAAATTGTTGAGGCACCGCTTTTTGACTACTTGTAACCTTCATATGTTATTTAAATTATTTTTCTTTTTTGCATGAAAAAAGAAATTATGTAAAAAATCAAAAGAGAAAAAAAAACTAAGCTGACTGTAGCAATTGCTAAATTTGCTTCAGCCTGAATCCGCTCGTGTATATATATGTGAGTGTGTGTGTGTGTGTGTGTGTGCGTGTAGAAAGAGATTTAAAAACAAAGTTTAAATAACTTAAATAAAAAACAAACTATTTTTAATAAAAACTATACAAAGTAAAAACAACAACAAAAAAAATAACATTTAAGTTAGTTTTTATTTTTATTCAACGTCGCAGTTTAGACAAATTTAGACATTTGATTAGTTAATTTTTTGAATAATCAAAATCACAAAAACATAGTTTTGGTTTGTAAACTTTACTAAATCAGAGCAAAAGTATAACAATACAAATATTAAGACATAGAGACCTTGGTTTTACAATAGCGTTTTTTAATACGTCAATGTCTAAGTTTCTAAATCAGTCTACAGTAGGTTTATAACAAGTTTTTGTTTTTTTAGAGTTGCAGTCTTATAATGAAACTAACTAAAACTAGTGAACTAGCTTTGTAATTTCCTGGTAATATTCTAATAGCTTTTTAGACTGAAACTATTTGACTTAGCATTAGGTTTTAAATTAGGTTTTGTGATAAAAAAAAATCAAAGGAAAACTTGAAGGATGATAAACATGAGTGTTGTTTGTTAATGCAGTTTACAAATATGATTTAATATTATTTGTTAACTTTATTAGCTCCGTCTCAACTATAATTTTTTGATCTAGTCAAGTTTATATTTTTGATTATAGTCAATATTTTTGATTATAGTCAATATATTTGATTATAGTCAAATTATAAGTTTATATTTGTGATTATTTTTTTTGATCTAGTCAAGTTTTTGAACTAGTCAATTTTATAGCGCCTATACTAGATTTGTTTGTAAGTAGTTATTCTGGTATGGCAACGGCTGGTAACTTATAACTATTATTTTTTTGGTGTTGTGTTTGTTCTTTTACTTTCCTTCTTTTTCGTGTTCTTCTTGCTTTAAGGAGAGTAATACCAAGTTGATCAATTTTTAAGTTTATAAGTTAGTTTAAGTTTTTTTTTTGTATATATTAAGCTTTTAATTTTTCCTCTAAATTTTATTACAGATAGTTCTTCAACCTTTTTTATTTCTATTGAGTTGGCTGTTGAACTTGTATTTTTTTGTTGGGTTAGCTGTTGAACTTGTGTTTTTTATTGAGTTGGATGTTGAAGCGATTGGGTTTTTTTTTAAATCTTAATCTCAGGACATGGGTAAATCTGCCAGAGAGATTCATTTAAGTTAAGTTAAGCTAATTTTTTAGCTGTTTATTACAATTTAGCTTTATTAAGTTTATGTTTTTGAAATGTATTTTGACGGTTTATGTTTATTCCAATTATTATTAAATGTACAGGTTACATTTAATAATAATTGGAAAGCCAAATTTATTTTTTAATCTAAGGGTATGTTGTTGTCTTCATTAATATTACTTATATCAAAAGTCCAGATGTTATTTTAATGGTATGATTGATATTACATTTATCATTCGTTTTTTAGGTTTTTACAACTATTTCACGTGTCCTTGTAGTTATGTATTACTTACACTTAGAGTAGTCTATGTGTGTCATCAACTCAAAAATTCTTTTAGGTTAACCTGTTTTAAACTTCATCTTAATTATCAAAAAAAACTTATAGGTGTATCTATTGAAATGATTCTAGTTAATATTGTTTTTTGTTGTTGTTCTTTTAAAAATATTATTGTGGTTTTATGAATTGTGCTTGTTAAACTTTATTTGCTATGATAGTTTTGTTAGTTAACGTAACTATGTAAGCTATAATAGTTGTGTTAATTATGTTTGACTGTAGTTTATGTTGTTTATTTAAACTATTATGACATATGACAAGTTCTATGTTTTTCTGATAATTGATAAAGCAAGTGTTTTTTTATTTAAAACATAAACTCTTTACTTATTTCCAGTAACAATATGTGAAGGCTTATCTGGCACTATACAGTGTCCAGTAAATTCGTTGATAAAAATTCAAAGTGCTATATATGGTCGTGATAGCAGAAGCATATGTACATCATCTTACGCAAATTCTGCTTCACAGTTAAATAATTGCATATCTCCAAAAACTGTAACTGAACTTGTCCAGCAACGGTGCAACAACTACATTAGCTGTTCTGTTCAATCTAACAATGCTGAATTTACTGATCCGTGTCCAGGAATTTACAAATACACTGTTGTTAACTATAATTGTTTTTTAGAAGGTAAGTGTAACAACATTGTTACTAATTTTTATTTACCTTATGAAAATAATACTCAAAGTTACAAATTATAAATATATTAAATAACTATATAAATTATAACAATATCTTTACCATTGATATAGGTTTTGTTATCTAAAACATAATAATTATTAATGTTTTTTTCTCTAAATCAAGTTTAAAATACTCTCTATTTTAAATTTAAAGTTTTGAGTAGAGCTAAGAATCAAATGAACATGTTGTCTAATATATCAATAATAAAAATACCGATACGCTAGTAGTCTAATAAGTTTAGTCATAGTGGTAGTAGACTAGTTAGTAGTTAACTAAATATTATGATTAGAGCAGTGTTGTACTTTAACACAGTTTACATGTATTACTAATCTACGTAAATGCCAAAAGTTAAAACTACAGTTACACGGATGAAAAGTGAAAAAAATTATTGTGGTAGCCCATGTAAATTATCAAGGACAGATTAAATCACTTTTAGACAGGTTATTCAGTTCTATTACTATCTTTTTCCTATAAATCCAAATGCAGATATTGTATAAGTGACTCAGCATATTAACAATAATATAAAATTACTTTGGGCTACAGTAAACCCATGTTTACTTCTTATAAATGACAAATCTTTTAATAGGAAAGTTAAAGATCTTCTCGTACTTGTTAAGAATCGCAAGCACGGAAAAGCATGTATGAAAAGAATGGTGAATTACGAAAAGTACGAAAAGATGGAAAATTGAGTGGAAACTATTTGACTCATAGTACGATTCCTGTTTCTGGTGCGACAAACTTAGTTCTTGCTACTAAACGGTCAGTTTTTTACAAGAACATAACAGTTTTGGAAGAATAAAAGCTGTTCTTCTTGATAATAAGGCCAATATGTAGCTTAGTAGTAAAACTAGAAGCGTTTTTAAAAAGAAAACTACATCTAATTTTTTATTATTATTATTATTTAGGTGCCCCAAAAAGACCTAATGGTCTTGTCACCGAGCACCGCGGATGTGCGTTTAACCAGGAAGTTCATGCCTCCTTCCTTACCGCGTCGCAAAACATGTCCAAAGTTTGCTTCGAACCTGGATCTCCTGCTTACAAAGCAAGCTCTCTAACCACTGCGCCACGGCCACACATCTAATTGTATGCATCTTACATCAAAATGAAATTCCGTTGCGAGCTCTTTTTATAAAATTTGAAAATATTCAGGATAGAAATCAAGTTGTGTTTGAACGTATTAAAAACCCAATTGTAGATGGATATATTCCAGAAGAAATAAAAATATACCTTAGTTGCGATGAAAGACTTAATTTGAATATCGTAAAGGAATAGGCTTTGGTAAAGTTTCTGATAAATGGGTCGCCTATAAAATTGGACTGCTAACCCATGCCAGGTAGTTAACTCTACCTATTCATCTAGTTCCATTCATTCTAGTTTGTATACTAGAGACAATAAACCAACCTTTTCTTTAAAAAAAATTATATATTTTATTGTTCAAGTTTACGCTCCAGCGTGGTTCGAAATAAAAAAATCTTCAAAATTTCACGCGCCTTATTTTTTCTACTAATACTAGAATAAATAATCTCATCTTTAATGATGTTAAGCTTATTGTTAATAAAAATAATATAAACAATGCATAGTGTCTAAAACCTAAAAATATTTTTTATGCCATGCTAAAAGATAATGACAACAAGATGCAAAACTTTGGTTTTCAAGTCCTATGATCTCTAAGGCAAAGGTATTTTTTTATAGTAAACTAAAATAACGTTTTGAAAAAAAGTATACATTAACTATGGTAATTGGCCTTAGTTTATATTTATAGAGTAAACAACAAAAATATAAAAATTAAATTTAAAGAAAATTCCAGAAATTAATTTTAATGCTTATCATTAGTATTAGTTGGTTGATATCAGTATTACAAAAGTTATGGAGCATCCCTACTACACAACATTTTTCATTTGAGCAAATCCAAGTAATGATTGACTGTAATGTTAAAACTGAAATTCTTGACTTTCCATCTCACTCCTAGAATGTTGAACGAGCAGAAGCATCCCAATTTGTTTATGGATTCTAAAATAGACATTTTAACTAAACTACCATACATAAAGATGCGTAAATCATATATTTCAAAAGACATTATTCCTATTCTTATGATCATATTTTTTAAATGAAATTGTTTTCCTAAAAATTTGAATCCCTGTTCAAAACTTTTTAAATTGTGAGAGTAATGTTTATTTTGAAATTTTTATGTAAATATAAGAATAAAAATTTTACTATTTAAATTTTCGAATATTTAACAAATTGTTATAAATTCAGTTTAACTGTTATTAATTATTATAAATTTAAATTATTCAGCCATGCAAATAATATTAAAAACATTTATATACCCAGTGGGCACCGGAACAAAAAAAGACGTCTTTTGAACGTTCAAAATACGTCCAAAAAATTCAAAAGACGTTCAAAAGACGTGTATAACACGTTTAAAATACGTTTTTTTTTACTTTTGTGCCCACTGGGTATAAGGGTCAATTCTTGCGCATAACACTTTTTAAGGTATTTTTTTCTATAATCATACAAATCTAAAGAATTAAATCCATAAGCGATTCTTCATCCGAATTTTTTTAAATTATTAAGAATAATCATTTTATAAGCCTACTTTTGGCCGATGAATTTGTGCTTTTTTCTTTTTTATAAATAGGTAAATTAGAATATTTTAAAATGAAACATAAAAGCCAATTTTAATTTTAATATATATATATATATATATATATATATATATATATATATATATATATATATATATATATATATATATATATATATATATATATATATATATATATATATAACATAAAAATTGGCTTTTACATTTCATTTTAAAATAATTCTAATTTGCCTATTTACAAAAAAGAAAAAAGCACAAATTCATCGGCCAAAAGTAGGCATCGATGCAACTCATCTTATCATTAACTCATCTTATCATCGATGCAACTAATCTCTTATATAAAATCAATCAATATGTTTTTGAAACAGTTGTTTAATTTTCAAAGTTGTTTACAATTAGTAATATTACTAACGTTAAGTAAAAATCTAATGGAAATTATTAAAATAATAATGATTATAATAATAATAAACGATAGATGAAAAAAAAAGAATCCGTTTTTATACCTCTTTTTTTTCTGGTCTCTAGTGTCCAGAAGCTCTGAATATTTTGGTTTCCTTATAATCTGCTATATGAAAAAAAACTTATGAAATTTAATTACTTGAAACATTGTTTTTAAGTCCGGAGAACTGGTGTCATTGCTGCCGCTATACTTCAGGACTACGGGTTCAAAAGTTCGTTGTTTCTCTAAACTGAAAGTTTTAGTTTTTTATCAATAGTTTTCCAATATATATATATATATATATATATATATATATATATATATATATATATATATATATATATATATATATATATATATATATATATATATATATATATATATATATATATATATATATATAACTAAAAAAAAATGTTTATTTATATATCTTATTATACGATTTACTACTTGTAATATATTGTATTGTATTTTGTAATTTTTAACTTGTTACATAAACTAAAGGTAACAATGTAAACGGGGCTTGGCTATAAGACAATATACGTCTTCTTCTTGCTCCGGCCATATATTATATATGTACGATCTTTCTTATTGTAAATTTTATCAAACGGAAAAGAGAAAAAAAAAAAAATAAATGAAAGCTTTTTTTATATTTTTAGGGCTTCTTGATACTTAAGTCTAGGAAGAAGTAATCTTTTTGTGACATTCAAATCCGGAGTCCTTTTTGGGACTCTGTATCACTGATAAAAAAAATGTTTACAATATAAACAAAAGAATCATAATATAAAAAATAAAAAAAAAATATTACTAATAATAATGATAACAGTAGTAACAACAAAAGTAATAAAAATAAAAATAATAATAAGTTATTTGTTTATATAAACACAACAGCTATATATACAAAGTTAGACAGTTACATTCAGTTAAAACGTATCAACTAAAAACTACATAAAACACTTATTTTAATAGAAAACGAGAAAATAGGAAAAGCAATAATGAAATTAAAAATAACAACTCCAATGACATTAATAATTAAAACAATAATAGCAATAAGAAAAAATATTCAAAATAAAAATAAATTTAACATTAAATAAAGTATTACTTTCAAAAAATCAAAATTAAAAAAAGCATAACAAAAATAAAAAAAACAAAAACCTCGAAAAAATTTTATATTGATGCATGCACACACAAACATTTATATACACATATACTGATGTATTGATATGCGTACACAGACATGTATACACACATACATATACATTTGCATACTATAATACTCATACGTGTCTACATACACTCACATAGAAATGTATCTTTACACATAAAGATAAACAGTTTTAAAAGTGTATATAACTTTAAAAATGCCTGACCAACATTAAGCAAACTATAAGGGAATTTATTTATATCAACTTTAAAAATGTATACTCTTTTTTTTTGGGGGCGGGAGGTAGGATTTTTTGGATTCACTAATATATATATATATATATATATATATATATATATATATATATATATATATATATATATATATATATATATATATATATATATATATATAATATATATATATATATATATATATATATATATATATATATATATATATATACATATATATATGTGTGTGTATATATATATATATATATATATATATATATATATATATATATATATATATATATATAAAATATATATATATATATATATATATATATATATATATATATATATATATATATATATATATATATATTAATAATAATACAGGACAATACAAACAATTAACAAAAAAAAACATGATAATATGAGCAAGCCCGTCTTTAGGTCATCCTGGCCCCCCAGCGAAACAACGGTTTAGGCCTCTCAGGACCCTCCTCCCGTCTGCAAAAAAAATAGTATACGTTT